TTCTAATATTCTTTTGTTACCAATTATTACCTGCAAAAAAATTAAAACAGTTATCATTTTAGAGGCTTTTGAAAACAGAAGAAAATTAACGAAATAATTGTTCCCATACTTCAGACCAAAACTTTTCATTCCTCACGAGAGCTGATGTCAATTTTTATAGAGCCAAAGAACACAGAAACAATTACCAAAGAGCTCTTACACATTGTATGTAATTATTTACTTACAGTCTATAGCTGAAAAATAAAGCATTCATACGATAAGTCGCTAAAACATTAAATACTAGATTCTCCAAGGGACCAGTTCAGCTCATCTTGTATAAAACCGATCGATTCGGAGAACGAGTAATGATCTTCAATAAATACACATTGAATATAACTTGTAAACAGCTTGATTTTTCTGATACCTCGGACTAAATAATATTTATTCGGCCTAAATGCTTAAAATAGGTATTAGCTGCCAATTCATGTTCGCCTATTTCACTAGACTCTCAAATTTGATTGATAACATACTAAAACGTATATTTGAATTGCAAAAGTTCCATATGAAACAATAAAACAATGCATTGAATCGTTATGAATTATTAACATTTTGGGACTCAATTGATTTCAAACCATAGGTCACACCATAGGTTGCATGTATATGGAGGCCCCACATGAGGTCGAATGTATATCTTGCAAAACAATTTTGCCGAAATTGAACCAAACTGACTTCTGGTAGCGAATTATATTTTAAGGTTGTACCAAACTCTTTGACTAAAATTAATTTGGCTCGTTTAATTTTCATAAAACTTTGACAAAATATTTACTTTGACCCTTAAAAAAGTTTGACAAAAATATAAAAAATTCAAAAAACTTGAACCACACACTTTATCGGAAAAATTTCATTTGATATATATATATATATATCAGTTTGACAAACACTAATTTTGATCATTGAGAAGCTTAATATTACCTTAACAATAAGACGTGATTAAAACGTTCAGCTGGTTTTTACAGAGTTATCTCCCTGTAGTGTTAGGTACCACCTTAATGTTCCATTCTTGTAAGGTATGAACAAAATACCTACTTTATTTTTATTTAACTTAATATAAAAATATGAGATGTGGTATGATTGCCAATGAGACAACTATCCACTACAGTTCAAATGCACTGTTTTTTATTCAAAATTGTAGCTAATGCCGCTTTAAAGTATGCGATACCCATTATTCATATGGTCATTTTAGACGTTGGTAGAACATCTAAATCAACCAGCTAAACAACATTCCTTACAAAATAATGGTTGTACATGTAATTGTCACACGGACAGGGACATGATACAAACTCAACTTAAGAATAAGTCTTTTACATATAGTCCTGATGAATCAAGTGAATATTTGAACGAAAAATAATCAGAATAGATGTTTTTTTTCCTATATTAACTCCGGAGAGAAGCATACCAATGACTCAATTTTCCACATTTTGAACAGATTTATATTTGAACGGTAAATAACGTGTAAGAAGAGAGTAAAATTTACTGACCTACACACTCTTGATAACAAATAAAAAGGACATCAGGAATAACCTAAATATCTAACAGTATAATAGACACCAACAAAAACCAACAAACGACTCTGAAAACAGGCGAACATAGATGATCAACAACGAACAGCATATTGTACAGACAGTCTGACTTGGTAAAGGCATAACTTGTGTAGCCATACTTTAGACGTTTAACCAAGGATGTATTCACCAAATATATCTTCGACCTATTATATGATGGACAATTGCTACTTGTTTGATTGGTGGCTGCTAAAATTAGAGGCAACAGTAGTTTGCACAAATTCAAATCTGATAACTCCATAAAGAAAGTAAAAAACAAAAACGGGGAATCGCATGAACTGCAAAAAAGAGATACCTAAAATATTGGACAGTTCAATAAACAGCAACAATAGCCAACAAACGAGGAAAAAGCTTAATTTTACATGTATATCTAGATGATGGATAAGTAAGACATATCAATATATACAGTTCAAGGTTAGGGGAGGGTTGAGAGCTCACAAACATGTTTAACCCCGCCACATTATTTATGTGTCTGTCCCAAGTCTGTAGTTCAGTGGTTGTCGTTGGTTCATGTCTGTCACATTTGCTTTTCGTAAATTATTTTGTTATAAATTAGACCGTTAGTTTTCTCAATTGAATTGTTACATATTCTTCATGTCAGGGTATTTTATAGCCGACTATACGGTTTGGGTTTTTGTCATTGTTGAAGGCCGTACGGTTGCCTATAACTGCTTACATCCACTTTATTTGAACTTCGGTGGATAGTTGTCTCATTGGCAATCATATCACATCCCTTAATTTTCATATAGTCTGCATTGTTCTACATTGATATTTTTAATCCGACTTTAAACGCGCGAATTTTAAATGTAACAATCGCGGAAGTAAATTTCATCCTCAACGAACACATTAATCTGATCTGTCATTGCTCTTCCCTTTCAACTGGTTTCTCATTATGTATTTATCATATGTTTGCATTAAAAATGCACTTATTTGGTCATATGATCAGTCGAAATATATCAAGTAAAAATAATAGAAAATTGTACAATTTCAAAAAAAGAAATCATTATTGAAGATTTTCATGAGAATAGCATCAAAAAGTATGAAAAAGACGAGGATATTTATAAAGTAAAGCAACAGATTCGATTCTGAAAGTGCATGGATTCATCTGGCCGAGATTCAAAGAAACAACCCCCTTACTCGAGTAACTTTGTAATGATAATGCATAATTGTTTGCAATTGGTCTATTCTGAATTTATAAAATATATATCTCATTTATCTTTATTTGTAGCACTGATTAATTATTGTCAAATATAACTGTACAATTCAATTCTACAAACAGTAACATCAATTGTTCACTTGTTAAAAAAAAATTTTGAAAGTAGAAAAGGATTTGCGTTTCAGCTGCGTTTTGACATTAAATACCTATATCACACTGTTTTCCTGTGTAGCCTCTTCTACATTTACACGAGAACCCGGATGTACTACTCTGACAGCTTCCATACTTACAAGGACTTCTTTTACAATCTGTAAAACAAGATTATATGTTACTTGGCATAATTATTTTAATGACCAAAATGACGGGGGCTTCTAGTTGAGCTCGAAACTGCCTACTCTGCGGATGCACCTGAGTTAATCGTCGATATTGAGAAGGATTTATATTGCACTTTCCCTTGTGTTTAGTGTAGTACAAGTGTTTTGATGACTTTTGTCTTTTATGCATCATTTTTATTCGTGGTTTTTGTGTTATCTTTAATGAATGATCTTATTGCCCCCTTGACATTTTGTTAAATTTCTTCTAAATTGCAAGGTTTGTTTGAAAAAAACATGGTTTATTTGACAACTTACAAATTTTGATATCATTTTGATTAAGGAATGTATCTCCCTCATGAATAGCTCTGGTTCCTTGTCCTGGTTTAGCCTTTTTGGTTGTATCACCTCTTCAACTTTTGTATTAGGTTTTGGGTTTTCAGATGACGCGGTCTCGAGCATCACTGATGAGACATTAATTGTCGAAATGCGCATCCGGTGCGGTAAAATTGGTACCGTTTATGTAATTACCACTATTTTATGTCAGCTGTTTGACTGGGTATTTGCTTTGTTTTTTTGTAAACGCCACTTGGCAATACAAGTATATTTCAAAACTCTTATATATAAATATACATGTATTACATTGCGGTTGTTTTGTATACCGTCTGATTAACCTATTTTGCAATAGTATAGTCTACTAGAAATGTTTTTCATAAAAAGTTCAAAAATGTTTATGTACATTAAAATCAGGATAATCACAATATTATCATTCACTGACGATTTGAATTTACTATATATAATACACTTAGAGCTGTATATATAGTATATAAAAAAATTAATAGCTCTAGATTTTCGTTGAATTTATTTTCCATTACACACTTTTTAAGCGCCAGTAGAGGCTCAAGGTGTCAAAGTAGATAACCAGAAATTATGATTATATTAAATTGTTTAAACTTACAGTTAATCTCTGAAACGATGAAAAAAAAGAATATATCGATCATTTATAAATGTATTTTTTCTGAACAGTTAAAAAATCATCTTATGCATACACAATCTGACTTTGTAGAGATCCGATGTGGTTAATCAACCTTTGGTTATTAAGGTCTTTCCACTACGTGAGGAAAGACCTAATTTGTTTTCTGGTTTTTTTTTTGTTTTTTTTTTTGCTTCCAACATTTTAACATTGCTTCTATTGGAGTTTTCATGACCAGATTTGGACCATCGATAGACCTCATCATGAAGTATTACTAGATGACCTCGTGTAGGATTTGATCATCCCCTTAAGAACTGATCTCCCTTTTATTGTTTTTTTTTTAATTTGCAGTGTTTTGGCTGTAGTGTAATTAAAACTGTACATATTAACGGTAGCAGAATGTAGTGTAAACGTTCGTTTATAACGATAGCAGTAGTTTAAATGTTACATGTTACCGGTAGCAGTGTTAACGTAATAAGTTTAAGTTAGCACTTTAAGTAAAGATAATGTCGTCATATTAAAATGACCTGTCACATTATAATGGTAAACTATATTTCATATATACAGTATAAGGTCATTGTTAGAAAAAAATATAAACTTTGTGTATGAGGCTCAGAAACTGGGGAAGGGCGAGGTTTATCGAGCCGAATACAAAAAAGTTTATATTTTCTTTGACATTCACCTAATATTATTTTTATACAGTAAACTGCAGTTTAAAGTTGATACATCTATATACATGAAAAAGTCAATACAAAAAACTTCTTTCAATCCCTAAACGATTGTGAAGAAAAGTGATATGATAAGAAATATACATTGCACGAAATATCTCTTTGTTATATTTGGTAGATAAAGACAACAGGAAGTGTTCTAGCGGCAGTTTAAATATTTTACATTACCAGTATTTTCATTATGATATATTGGTACAATAACATGATCTTAATTTATATACGATTTACCATATTGGCATAGGTGTCCTTCATAACCGTTGTGACATGTACAAGCAAACCATAAAAAGAAGTTGTGACAAATCCCATGTCTACACGGATTATACTTGCAAACTGTGAAATAAAAAATAAAATAAAACGAAGATATCTTCATTTAGCATCAATATAAAGCTGACATCTCAATATATATTACTTTGTATGAGTGAGTGTGCTCTTTTTGTCGACGTATATTTGTTCTGCCTAACACAAGTTTTCCTGGAAACTTTGTTATAAACAGTGCCATAATATCTGTTCCTGTTTGAACACAGTCATGTTCTATACTCTTTATTCCGTTAGAAACAAATACTGTAATATTTATTCCAGTGGAAATAATATTTACTGAATATTTCTTCCACTTGGAAATTATATTATGAAGGAACTTCTATTTCATGATATTTTACACACAAAGAACTCATTGTTTATAACATTTGAAAAAGGGAGTGACACTGATGAAGGCTATTGTTCTGCCTAAATATATGTCAATACAATTTCATTTCATCTTGGTTTTTTTTCAGTATCTTTGAACAAATTTCAGGAATCTTTTATTTTTTCTGTTGGTGCTGCATCGTCGTTAGCCGATCAGATATGTATTGAATATTCATATATATTTGGCCAAATGTCAGTGGTTCTCACTGGGCACTCATTCTATCTCCGCCAATAATAACTGACCGTCATGTAATAGCCAACAGTGCTGAAAATGTCGTTAAACACAAACAATCAATCAATCCTGTATATTTTAATTATAAAAAACGAAAAAAAAAAACAACAAATAAATTACAAGTTTCAAGTTTCAAGTTTTTATTTCTCAAGACCCTTAACCAGGGTATGTGAACAAATATAATTGAACATAAATCAACACACTAAAACAAAATAGGTTGATTCAACGAACAAGTTAACATATATACATGATAGGCATTTCCAAATATATGAAAGACGGACATATTATATAAACATGAACATCATATACTTGAATAAATGTATGAATATACAGTAACTTCAGCATGCCGAATGTATCTACTCTTCAGACAGGAAAAAGCATACTCCCGGTTTGCCAATTGTGACCTGACCTTTTTTTTTCCCCACCTTTATTAAGGTCTCATTTTCTACATTTCAGGAATTGTCGGTGGGGATTATTTCGATGAAGTTGCAGTGTGATGTTCCTACTTTTCCTCCGTTTACTTTTCTTGTATCTCTAACGATAAACAAACAGATTGTGAGTATGTAAATTTTTAGTACAAGTATTTAAAAAAAACTGCTTGACAATAATTATGAAATGATTCAATAAAAATACTTACAACGGCAAAATCGTGCTGTAATAATAATAATATTGATATGTTATTGAATTTCATACAAAACTCATTTGCAATACAATGGATTTTACAATCATGAACAGTAGATTTTAATCCGTGTTTCCTATCACATCTGCTGTATTGATAAGGGGACGACCATTTGATATTCTGGGGGAGCAGATTGACTGTTCATTCTCAACTGTTGCTATGCATGCTTATTGTTTTCCCTAGCGAAAACTTTAAATCCACTTTTTGCACACAATTGTTCCTGCATTTTGTGTTTTAGAATACCCGTTTTCATCCTGTTTTGTACACAATTTTTCATTTTCAAATCTTATCATGCCAAGTGATTCCTTTTCAAAATACTCCTCCATCCAGAAACCCAAATGGTCTTCCCTTAACCAGTAATAGGGCGCATTTCATGCTTGTACGGGAGGACTGGTCGCTGGACGGATAGAACCCTAAGAATACACCTTATCGCAATTTATTACTATCTGGATAAGTTCTAAAATTACACAACTTTTCAAACCAGTTGAGGCTATCTTGGGTCTTGTTTAAATAATGTTTTGTGCATAAAACTTTTCATAGAGACATGTTTAAACCATCGTGAACACATCAACTAAATCATTTTCAAAGATGTTAATTTGTCTTATAAAAGTTGCTTCTTAAACCATCAAAATTTTAAAATGTTCACTCTCCAAACTTTTTCCTCCCTCAGCTCATTGCTAATGATCTTTAAAGCATTGCTCCTATTGACCTAATCAAGAAGTTGTCTGCGTAACTGTTTTTCCTGAATTGGACTATTAAACTAAATGGCGATAAGGTGTTTTACTTTTTGTTTTACCTCTGCTATTTACTCGATATAAATATATATGGTGTGATTGCTGATGAGAAAATTATCCACCAGTGAAGAAAGAAAGAGAATGTTCACTGTGTTAAAGAAATATAAAAGACACCGGATTAGCAAATGTGAAACTCAAGCAAGAGATTTGTTGATTAACTTAATTTACTGTATTTGATCAAGCTAGAGTATGGTCAATACTTTAAACTATACTCGATCAAACTAGAGTCTCGTCAATACTCTGAACTGTACGCGATCACGATAGAGTCTGGTCATTACTCTGACCTATACTCGATCGTGCTAGAGTCTTGTCAATACTCTGAACTGTACTCAATTAAGCTAGAGTCTGGTCGATACTCGTAACTGTACTTGATCAAGATAGAGTATGGTCAATACTCAGAACTGTACTTGATCATGCGAGAGTCTTGTCAATACTTTGAACTGTCCTCGATCACGATAGAGTTTGATCAATACTCTGAACTGTACTCAATCAAGCTAAAGTCTGGTCAATACTCTGAACTGTACTCGATCAAGCTAGAAACTAGTCAATACTCTGTACTGTACTCGATCAAGATAGAATCTGGTCAATACTCTGAACTGTGCTCGACCAAGCTAGAGTCTGTAATATACTTTTTGAACTTTACTCGATCAAGCTAAAGTCTGGTAAATACTTTGTACTATTATACGTCATAAAGCTAGAACCTTGTTGATACTCTGAATTGTACTCGATCAAGCTCGAGTCTAGTCAATACTCAGAACTGTACTCGATCACGATAGAGTCTGGCCAGTACTCTGAACTATGCTCGACCAAGCTAGAGTTTGGTCAATACTGTGAAATGAACTCGATCAAGCTAGAAACTAGTCAATACTCTGTACTGTACTCGATCAAGATAGAGTCTGGCTAATACTCTGAACTGTGCTCGACCAAGCTAGAGTCTGGAAAATACTTTTTGAACTTTACTCGATCAAGCTTAAGTCTGGTAAATACTCTGTACAGTATACTTCATCAACCTAGAGCCTTGTTGATACTCTGAATTGTATTCAATGAAGCTAGAGTCTGGTCAATACTCGTAACTGTACTTGATCAAGATAGAATCTGTCAATACTCTGAACTGTACTCGATCAAGCTAGAGTCTGGTCAATACTCGTAACTGTACTTGATCAAGATAGAGTCTGGTCAATACTCTGAACTGTACTCGATCAAGCTACAGTCTGGTCAATACTCGGAACTGTACTCGGTCATGCTAGAATCTGGCCAATACTCTGCACTGTATTCGATGAAGCTAGAATCTTGTCAATACTCTGAACTGTATTCGATGAAGCTAGAATCTGGTCATTACTCGTAACTGTACTTGATCAAGATAGAGTATGGTCAATACTCGTATCTATATTTGATCATGCTAGAGTCTGGTCAATACTCTGAACTGTAGTCGATCACGATAGAGTTTGGTCAATACTCGGAACTGTACTCAATCAAGCTAAAGTCTGGTCAATACTCTGAAATGAACTCGATCATGCTAGAAACTAGTCAATACTCTGTACTGTACTCGATCAAGATAGAGTCTGGTCAATACTCTGAACTGTGCTCGACCAAGCTAGAGTCTGTAAAATACTTTTTGAACTTTACTCAATAAGCTAAAGTCTGGTAAATACTTTGTACTACTATACGTCATCAAGCGAGAACCTTGTTGATACTCTGAATTGTCCTCGATCAAGCTAAGGTCTGGTCAATACTCAGAACTGTACTCGATCACGATAAAGTCTGGCCAATACTCTGAACTGTGCTCGACCAAGCTAGAGTTTGGTCAATACTGTGAAATGAACTCGATCAAGCTAGAAACTAGTCAATACTCTGTACTGTACTCGATCAAGATAGAGTCTGGTCAAAACTCGGAACTGTACTCGGTCAAGCTAGAGTCTGGTCAATACTCGTAACTGTATTCGATGAAGCTAGAATCTGGTCAATACTCTGAACTGTATTCGATGAAGCTAGAGTCTGGTCAATACTCGTAACTGTACTTGATCAAGATAGAATATGTCAATACTCTGAACTGTACTCGATCAGGCTAGAGTCTGGTCAATACTCGTAACTGTACTTGATCAAGATAGAGTTTGGTCAATACTCTGAACTGTACTCGATCAAGCTAGAGTCTGGTCAATACTCGTAACTGTACTTGATCAAGATAGAGTCTGGTTAATACTCTGAACTGTACTCGATCACGATAGAGTTTGGTCAATACTCGGAACTGTACTCAATCAAACTAAAGTCTGGTCAATACTCTGAATTGAACTCGATCATGCCAGAAACTAGTCAATACTTTGTACTCTACTCGATCAAGATAGAGTCTGGTCAATACTCTGAACTATGCTCGACCAAGCTAGAGTCTGTAAAATACTTTTTGCACTTTACTCGATCAAGCTAAAGTCTGGTAAATACTCTGTACTAGTATACTTCATCAAGCTAGAGCCTTGTTGATACTCTGAATTGTACTCGATCAAGCTAGAGTCTAGTCAATACTCAGAACTGTACTCGATCACGATAGAGTCTGGCCAATACTCTGAACTGTGCTCGACCAAGCTAGAGTTTGGTCAATACTGTGAAATGAACTCGATCAAGCTAGAAACTAGTCAATACTCTGTACTGTACTCGATCAAGATAGAGTCTGGCTAATACTCTGAACTGTGCTCGACCAAGCTAGAGTCTGGAAAATACTTTTTGAACTTTACTCGATCAAGCTTAAGTCTGGTAAATACTCTGTACTAGTATACTTCATCAACCTAGAGCCTTGTTGATACTCTGAATTGTATTCGATCAAGCTAGAGTCTGGTCAATACTCGTAACTGTACTTGATCAAGATAGAATCTGTCAATACTCTGAACTGTACTCGATCAAGCTAGACTCTGGTCAATACTCGTAACTGTACTTGATCAAGATAGAGTATGGTCAATACTATGAACTGTACTCGATCAAGCTAGAGTCTGGTCAATACTCGTAACTGTACTTGATCAAGATAGAGTCTGGTCAATACTCTGAACTGTACTCGATCAAGCTAGAGTCTGGTCAATACTAGGAACTGTACTCGGTCATGCTAGAATCTGGCCAATACTCTGCACTGTATTCGATGAAGCTAGAATCTGGTCAATACTCTGCACTGTATTCGATGAAGCTAGAATCTGGTCAATACTCTGAACTGTATTCGATGAAGCTAGAATCTGGTCATTACTCGTAACTGTACTTGATCAAGATAGAGTATGGTCAATACTCGTAACTATATTTGATCATGCTAGAGTCTGGTCAATACTCTGAACTGTAGTCGATCACGATAGAGTTTGGTCAATACTCGGAACTGTACTCAATCAAGCTAAAGTCTGGTCAATACTCTGAAATGAACTCGATCATGCTAGAAACTAGTCAATACTCTGTACTGTACTCGATCAAGATAGAGTCTGGTCAATACTCTGAACTGTGCTCGACCAAGCTAGAGTCTGTAAAATACTTTTTGAACTTTACTCAATAAGCTAAAGTCTGGTAAATACTTTGTACTACTATACGTCATCAAGCTAGAACCTTGTTGATACTCTGAATTGTACTCGATCAAGCTAAGGTCTGGTCAATACTCAGAACTGTACTCGATCACGATAGAGTCTGGCCAATACTCTGAACTGTGCTCGACCAAGCTAGAGTTTGGTCAATACTGTGAAATGAACTCGATCAAGCTAGAAACTAGTCAATACTCTGTACTGTACTCGATCAAGATAGAGTCTGGCTAATACTAGTACTCTGAACTGTGCTCGACCAAGCTAGAGTCTGGTCAATACTCGGAACTGTACTCGGTCAAGCTAGAGTCTGGTCAATACTCGTAACTGTATTCGATGAAGCTAGAATCTGGTCAATACTCTGAACTGTATTCGATGAAGCTAGAGTCTGGTCAATACTCGTAACTGTACTTGATCAAAATAGAATCTGTCAATACTCTGAACTGTACTCGATCAAACTAGAGTCTGGTCAATACTCGTAACTGTACTTGATCAAGATAGAGTATGGTCAATACTCTGAACTGTCCTTGATCATGATAGAGTCTGGTCAATACTCTGAACTGTACTCGATCACGATAGAGTTTGGTCAATACTCGGAACTGTACTCAATCAAGCTAAAGTCTGGTCAATACTCTGAAATGAACTCGATCATGCCAGAAACTAGTCAATACTTTGTACTGTACTCGATCAAGATAGAGTCTGGTCAATACTCTGAACTGTGCTCGACCAAGCTAGAGTCTGTAAAATACTTTTTGAACTTTACTCGATCAAGCTAAAGTCTGGTAAATACTTTGTACTAGTATACGTCATCAAGCTAGAACCTTGTTGATACTCTGAATTGTACTCGATCAAGCTAGAGTCTGGTCAATACTCAGAACTGTACTCGATCACGATAGAGTCTGGCCAATACTCTGAACTGTGCTCGACCAAGCTAGAGTTTGGTCAATACTGTGAAATGAACTCGATCAAGCTAGAAACTAGTCAATACTCTGTACTGTACTCGACCAAGATAGAGTCTGGCTAATACTCTGAACTGTGCTCGACCAAGCTAGAGTCTGGAAAATACTTTTTGAACTATACTCGATCAAGCTTAAGTCTGGTAAATACTCTGTACTAGTATACTTCATCAACCTAGAGCCTTGTTGATACTCTGAATTGTATTCGATCAAGCTTGAGTCTGGTCAATACTCGTAACTGTACTTGATCAAGATAGAATCTGTCAATACTCTGAACTGTACTCGATCAAGCTAGAGTCTGGTCAATACTCGTAACTGTACTTGATCAAGATAGAGTCTGATCAATACTCGTAACTGTACTTGATCAAGATAGAGTCTGGTCAATACTCTGAACTGTACTCGATCAAGCTACAGTCTGGTCAATACTCGGAACTGTACTCGGTCATGCTAGAATCTGGCCAATACTCTGCACTGTTTTCGATGAAGCTAGAATCTTGTCAATGCTCTGAACTGTATTCGAGGAAGCTAGAATCTGGTCAATACTCTGAACTGTACTCAATCAAACTAGAGTCTGGTCAATACTCTGGAACTGTGCTCGATCAAGCTTAATATAAAAATAAGAAGATGTTGTATGATTGCCAATGAAACAACTCTCCACCAGATACCAAATGACATAGACGTTATCAACTATAGGATAGGTCACCGTATGGCCTTCAACAATGATCAAAACCCATTCTGTATAGTCAGCTTTAAAAGGCCCCAAAATGACAAATGTAAAACAATTCAAACGAGAAAACTGATGGCCTGATTTATATACAAAACAATGAATTAATTAAAAATAGATATGATATACAACAACAAACCAACCACTGAATTACAGCCGCAAAGTCAGCTATAACATTCCCCGAAATGACAAATGTAAAACAATTCAAACGAAAAAACTAATGGCCTGATTTATACAAAACAGTGAACTAAAACAAATATGATATACAGCAACAACCGACAACCACTGAATTACAGGCTCCTGACTTGAGACAGGCACATTAAGTCTGGTCAATACTCTCAACTGTACTCGATCAAGCTAGAGTATGGTCAATACTTTGAACTGTACTCGATCATGCTCGAGCCTTGTTGATACTTAATCGTTTCTGATATGAACTTGTACAAATCTTAACTCTAGTTGGCTTTTTCTGAAAATAAATTCGACTTGTTCGGAACATTTCACACATGGATATAAATCTGTCCAGTATTTTTGGTTTTTCAAACTTTTAAATATGGCGTTTCCCGGATAATTTTAACTCAGATAAAGAAGAAATAATAGAAAAAAAAATCAAAAATCATAAACCCTCTTTGACCATAGGAAGCTCACATGCTTGATACCTTTCATTCACAATTGTTCATGCAAATGCAAATATGGTTTAAATATCAACTTGTGTGTAAAAATGTCATAATAATTTAGTGTTACTTACATGACCTCTCTAACTGGTCTGTAATACAATTGACACATATTGTATTATATCATTGAAATTATTTGATATAACACATAATTATTGACTACTGCTGTAGAGTGCATGACCATTTCAATTACAGTCTGTTTTATTTATGCTACCATGATTATATAGATCGGTAGCACTTTAAGATATGCTAACAAATGTTTATTTTTTTTTATGTCGTTTTTCTCTACTGTATTCTTTATATTTTGCCCATTATTCTCTATTCTTTTCTATATTTAAGCACTCCATTTTTCTAAATTCTTTATTTTTTTCCCCATTTTTCTGTAGTATTGACCACTTTTTGTAAAGACCCTCTTGTACAGGTTAGTTGTATTTGAAGATAATTCATGCGCTTATCTATCCACTATGTGCTGTTTGCTCTTGTAATATTGCATGTATGTTGTATTTGTCTTTTGTTACAGTGTAACCTGTCAGAGTGTTTATTAAAACTTGTGGCTTCAACATGGTCAAATCCGATCTGCGACCTTAAGGGCTTTGGCAGGCTACCTAGCTTACGACCTGACGTCTCATTTAAGAGAACATGTGACCAAAACAACTGTTCAAAACCTTGTTATTTCAATGTTTATTTGGCTTAAAAGAGACCTGGTGACCAAATGCAATTTTCAAAGTTGACCTTGTGACCCAAAACTTGTATCTTGGAAAGACATGTGTGTTCCTGTATTGAGACACAATGTGTCCTTTGCAACCACAAAATCGTGTTCTAAAGATACTTGTATAAAAACGACTAGTTAAAACCAAATTATAGCGGAGTATGTTCGCTAAGTGCCCTACTTGGCCCGGAATTTTAAGTCCAAGATAAAAGTGTAAAAGATAGTGAAATAACATTTTTTTTATTTTTTTCTTTATTTTGCCCTATTATTCTTTTTTCTTTATTTCTCTATTCTTTACTTGTTTGGTCTATCACCACCATCCCCCCCCCCCCCCCCCCCCCCCTCCCACACTTGTGGTTTTGATCCAATATTCTCTCTTCTGTAAACCAGACCCTCATAAATGAATTAAGGTGACATGAGCATACTTTATTTTTAAATCCACATAATAAGAAACTGTACAAAGGGAAGTAGTTCTTCTATCATTGAATTATCTTCCTTGATAAAAATTTCTTTCTCATGTACATGCACTTACTGTTCTTTGTTATATAATACTGTGTTATTAACTATTTCATTGTCTTAAAAAATCATTTTATACAATTTTAAACCCGTAAGGTTGATAAAGCATTTCATTTTATATTCATATACATACATACATACCTGTACTAGTTTTAGCTTCAATAAAACCACTAAGAGTACAAATGGTTAACAGTACTAATGGAAGCATGTCTGTACTTAATCTGAAAAAAAATAATGTCTGAGTTGAAGGCATGGTGTCAATTCACATATTAAACGAGAGTGGTCATTCATACCCATTATTTGGTAAAAAAATATCAAAGTTACAAAAACCAAAAAGTGCACAAAACCAAGAGAAGCACACATGGATAGCTAAACTAAATATGATTATAATTCTTAGTTTTGACGTCACGATAATATCAGATTATTACATGGTATTTTTCATATCACATGTATTATCAGCCCAAGGTTCAATATCAGCCCAAGAGCCGAAGGCTCGAGGGCTGATAATACATGTGATATGAAAAATGGACATGTTATGATCTTTTTATCATATGCTTCAACCATGGAGAAAAATAACAGTTTAAGATATTGATCCTTTTAAGTGGTTCTCAAGTAGAAGTTCAAAAAGTGAAAAGTTTAAGGACGTCGGACACTTGGAAATACAACTCAATGGTACGTTTTTAGTGAAAAACATAACAAAATAGGGTACAAAACAATTATTAGGAAACAGGAAAATATATTATCGTTATTTAAAATGCAAAAAAAAAACCAAATGATACAATAAATGAATTTTTCAATGTTTCCAGCATAATTTAGCAAGTTACTTTACAAATATTGACTTTTCCAAACAGTGGTCATTATGTTTTGTTAATTTTTTTTTATCGTCAAAATAAAAATATACTATACTGTTGTTTTTCTCCTCTGTTGAGGCATATGATAGAAAGATTTCATATCGGATCTATAACATTTGGCGTCCGTCGTCCGTAAACTTTTCACTTTTTGAACTTGTACTTGAGAACCACTTAAAAGGATCAATATATTAAACTGTTACTTTTCTCCATTGTTGAAGCATATGATAAAATATCATAACATGTCATTTTTCATATCAGATGTATTATCAACCCTCGAGCCTTCGGCTCTTGGGCTGATATTGAACCTTGGGATGATAATACATCTGATATGAAAGATGCCATGTAATTACCTGATAATATTCACCTGGAGAAAAGTGATATTCACCGCGCTAAACGTCACGCGCTCTTATATGTAACGTTTTGATAAAATGTTTGATGTACAATTGGTTTTGGTAAATATTAGTCATTGAAAACACTGTATTCTCTCGGAATATGGAATAAAAACAATTACTGTCTTTTGTTTCGGTAAATATGTGGTTTAATTGACTTTTGAAAAACTGATATTCACTTCGGCTGTCGGCCTTAGTGAATGTCAGTTTTGCAAAAGTCAATAAAACCGCATGTTTACCTCAACAAAAGACAGTTATTGTATAGTATAGTGTCTCAACTTCCTTAAGTCCATTAAATTTATTGATAATATTGCTTTAACATTTCTGCGGTATTGTATATTGACTTCTATCTTTGCGCCAAATTATGAAACCAACTACATGTATGATAATCATATATTAAATTATTACTAAAAGAGAATATGCTTGAAATCCGACACAATCGTATCTAAACAAATTTAAAATACATATATGAAGCTGTCATAATATAAAGATTGAACAAAACATCCAAGTTGGTTGAGTATGAAATTCAGGGGAAATTGGCCTTACCTCTTCATATATACCGAAATTGACTTGAAAGGAAGTTCTACCACATTGTTATCTGAATTCGTTGACCAAGGCACTCGTTATCTTGTTTATCACACTTGTTCCTAATGAACCGCAAGGACAGGTCAGAAATAATGACCACATATACATCGTGGAACAAATTCTTGACAATTAGAATTACGTAATAGAAGTATTTTCCTTTCCTACATTCATTTAGTGGAAAGTAGTACGAGGGTCTGTGGGAGAACAGCTTTTTAGTTTTGTAACTGAGTATTAGGGACTCTGGAATATATTATGTTTAGAACATATCCATGCCATTTAAAACTAAACTGATCTGATAACAAAATGTAGTCTAGTGAATAGATCTTCTATGCAATGGCATTTTTATCGGCACAAAGTTTGATTGAATAACGTTTTTAATTAGACAATTTATGAAAGAAGTGTCCTATAATAATACGTGCGTTGGACAGCAACCATCCAACACAACGAAACTCAAAAACATGTATTCTGGTCAAAATTTATATAATTCATTTCAAGCATATAATCATTAAAAAGATGTTTTAGACATAATACTGATTTACCCACATTAACATATATATTTTCAAAAATACTATCCTACTGATAGTATAAAGGATGGATGGGGTTCACAAGATTGGAGCATAAAATGGAGTTTGCAGAGTTGATATTAAAATGGGGTTTACACCACTGTTCCAGGTTAGGGGGAGGGGTTGAGCGCTCACAAACATATTTAACCCCGCCACATTCTTTATATGCCTGTCCCAAGTTAGGAGCTTGTAGTTCAGTGGTGGTCGTTGGTTATTTCTGTCATATTTGTTTTTTCGTAAATTGTTTTGTTATAAATTAGGCCGTTAGTATTCTGAATTGAATTGTTTCATATTTTTCATGTCGTGGCCTTTTATAGCCGACCATACGGTACGGGTTTTTCTCATTGTTGAAGGCCGTAATGCCTATAATTGCTTACATCCACACTTCATTTGAAATTTAGTGGATAGTTGTCTCATTGACAATCATACCACATCTCCTTTTTTTTATATTTACAGAATGGAGAATAAAAAATAGAAAGAAGAGAAAAATAGGCCGAAAAAATAAGGAAATAGATAATAATGGGTGTTGTAATATTAAGAATATATAGAGAATAATAGGCAACAAAATAAAGAATTAAGAAAAACGGCCTGAAAATTAATAAAGAATACAGAAATAGATCCAGATCCTCGTAAAAACAACTACTTACACATTGTATATAAACGGATATCTGTATCTTTCACAATACTTAATCTAATTTAATACAAGACTAGCCCTTTCCAACTGATTTTTACAGTTTGTGCTTATATATTGTGTTTTTACACCATGAACTGTCCCATGCTAGAGGTGGATTGAGTGCTCAATTACATGTAAACCCAGCCACATTATTGATGTGCTTTTCGAGAACCAGGAATCTGTTATATACATGTAGTATAGTGGTTGTCTGCAAACATATTGTTTTTTATGATCTTTGTTTTTTAAGATATCGTTAATTCAGACAACTTTTTATAATTGCAACGATATCTGCTCCGTCGTATATGGTGACATTATATAATTGAGGTTGGGGATACATAATACAGAATAATGAGCAACATGTACACAATAAATAGCGAAAAATATTAAAGCGAAAAATAGGCACACAAAAAATAAAGAATAGAGAATAATAGGCAATATGGATAAAGAATAGAGAATAATGGGCAATATGGATAAAGAATAGAGAATAATGGGCAATATGAATAAAGAATAGAGAATAATGTGCAATATGGATAAAGAATAGAGAATAGTGGGCAATATGGATAAAGAATAGAGAATAATGGGCAATATGGATAAAGAATAGAGAATAATGGGCAATATGAATAAAGAATAATGGACAATATGAATAAAGAATAGAGAATAGTGGGCAATATGGATAAAGAATAGAGAATAATGGGCAATATGGATAAAGAATAGAGAATAATGGGCAATATGGATAAGGAATAGAGAATAGTGGGCAATATGGATAAAGAATAGAGAATAGTGGGCAATATGGATAAAGAATAGAGAATAATGGGCAATATGGATAAAGAATAGAGAATAATGGGCAATATGGATAAAGAATAGAGAATAATGGGCAATATGGATAATGAATAGAGAATAATGGGCAATATGGATAAAGAATAGAGAATAATGGGCAATATGGATAAAGAATAGAGAATAATGGGCAATATGGATAAAGAATAATGGGCAATATGAATAAAGAATAGAGAATAGTGGGCAATATGGATAAAGAATAGAGAATAATGGGCAATATGGATAAAGAATAGAGAATAATGGGCAATATGGATAAAGAATAGAGAATAATGGGCAATATGGATAAAGAATAGAGAATAGTGGGCAATATGGATAAAGAATAGAGAATAATGGGCAATATGGATAAAGAATAGAGAATAATGGGCAATATGGATAAAGAATAGAGAATAATGGGCAATATGGATAAAGAATAGAGAATAATGGGCAATATGGATAAAGAATAGAGAATAATGGGCAATATGAATAAAGAATAGAGAATAATGGAATACTTGAAAAATTAAAGAATAGAGAATAATGGAATACTTGAAAAATTAAAGAATAAAGAAATGAAGGACCCCCATCAAGACCCTCATAAATGCTTTTTTTGTCGCGGTCCTTTGGTCTGTACAGATAGTAGTCTTATTGGTGGCCATACCACATCTTCTTATCTACGTACATCTAGCATTATTATATATAAAGAATTTGGAATGTATACATGTAAGAGGAGGTTTAATTAGTTCAACCGTAATTAGTGGTCCGAATTACTATGCATATACTGTTCTATACCAAAACGCCATGTTTTCATAACCGATTTTTTTTCGTCGATTTTCCGGCATACAAATGCATCTGATACCACTATTTTAGCCACTGTAAAAAAAATTATTCGGTGTGCTAATGCATAGACAAATATTTTGTTTAAAAGGTCCTTTCCTGCATGAAATCAAACACCATTGGACAATCATTAGTATCTGTGATTAGCGAATAAGAGGGAAATAATGAGACCTTCTCTAATAAAAAAAAATATAAAGAAGTAATGAAATGTGACCAATTTCCCATCAATTGGTATTTGTTTTAATTAAGAGTGTCAAAATCAAAAAGTTGATGAAACCGCTAGTCATATAACCTATAAGCCTTCGTATGTCCGTATCGTTTTTTATCAGATATATTTATTTACTATCAATGCTGAACCTCGTGGTTCATCATGATAGTAAAAAAATATCTCTTGATAATAAACGTTGAAAGCCAACGATACTGCCTTACGAAGGCTTATATTATAGAACTAATTAAACCTACTAGTAGTACCAATCGCCACTATATACCATAGCACGAGTGGCAGGGGCGGATCCAGCCATTTATAAAAGGGGGGGTTCCTAACCCAGGATAAAGGGGGATTCCAACTATATGTCCCCATTCAAATGCATTGATCGTCAAAAAAAGTGGGGGGGGGGGGGGGGGGGGGGTGTAAGTGAACGCAATAATTTCTGAATTCACAGTAGTAAAAATAGGGCATACTGGTATATATACGATACAGATAAATGGAAAACATATATTCAAGAAATAAAGGGGGATTTATGAAAGGGTTTCAAAACAGGGCAATTCCCGAGGGTCTGGATGTCGACCCCGAGGGTATCATCACCCCAGTAGTCTGTGTTGACATGAATTATCATTGATATGGTCATAATTATAAATTAACTGTTTACAAAACTTTGAAATTTTCGAAATACTGAGGATTTTCCGCTAACCCTGGAATAGATTACCCTAGCTGTATTTGGCAAAACCTTTCGGAATTTTGAGTCCTTAATGCACTTCAACTTCGTGCATGTACTTTATTTGGCCCCTTTTTAACTTTTTTGATTGATTGTCACTGATGGGTCTTTTGTAGATGAGTTTATTTACAGAATAGAGAATAAAGACCAAACAAAAAATATAACAAATAGAGAATAAATGAGCAAAAAATTAAAGAATGGTGAAAGAATAACTGGAAAATAAAAGAATTGTGAAATACAATACTTTTTAAAATTATTATTCTTATTACAGAAATGAACTATGTACAGAATAAAGAAATCATGTAATTTCAGAAAAATCTTTAGAGAATTTTTCAGAATAAGTGTTATTTCAAAAGAAAAAGAAAAGATGCCCCCAAAAAGTTAAAGATTACAGAAATAAAGGGTCTTTTGAAAGCATCTGTGATTAAAATTACGTACAAATCCTCGTGACAAATAGTTAAAAAATGGGCTAGAACAACCCGGCCCTCCTCCAATTTCCTGCCAATGTTTTCTGGGTGAAACTCACAAAACCGTCTTTTAAATAATTTTGGATCCACGCGTACGTCTGGCCAGATTATCTAAAGGTCGGTGGTTTTCTCTGGGCATTCCGGCTCAGTGAGTCATCATTAGAAGATATCGCCACGATAAAGTCAATATTGCGAAAGTAGTGTTAAATACCAACAATCAGTCAAATCAATCAACCAATCCGCGTCTGCCTGTTCTTTTAGAAAAACGTAAAGAAGTGCTTTCTTAATACACACAACGGGAAAGTATTCTTGAGTGATGTCCCTTTAAAATCCACTAATAACACAAATTGATTTTCTTTTAAGTAAAATACGTTAAATTGTATATTGTAAAAGATTACACTTATTAAATAAGTTTATAATTTCAAAAGAAAATTGGATATGGCTAGAACTATTTTTAAGGGGAATAAGTGTAGTTTGAATTTTATTTTCAAACCTTTGCTTCATTATCTTGTATGTGACCTCATATAAAGAATCAACCACAACATAAACAAAAAGGGCCTTTATCATGTTTGGTACTCAGAGCCTAACGGTTCTGGGCGGAATCACAATCAGGAGATTTCGGAGGCATAATTTCTTTACTTGGTGGCAGTTGGTACTCTTTAGGTCCGGCGCCCCATCACATCAAATATAATTGAAGAAACTTCCAAACGTAACTGGCATAAATATAACTTTCGGTTTTTAAAAGGCAGATATCGCAAATTAT